TTAGTGAATAATTTAATAACTTTAATAAAGGTGATGATACATTTGTCAAATAAGTTATGGGAAATTTTTTTTTTTTCAACAACCAATTAAAAAATTATTTGTTTTTATTATAGCACCGTTATATAATTATTTAAGTCATTTATTTTTGTTTTATTTGTAAAAAAAAATAAGTAAAAGGACGGATAAATTATAATTTTTTTTTTTTTTTTACTTTGATTTCAGGTCAAATATTAGCAAGTTTAAAACGATTAATGTCTAATCTTACATCATTAAAAATATTGGAATTGGTGGATTTGATGTTGGAAAATAATGATGCAAAATTCTTATTGGATGACATATGCAACAATTGTTATTTAAAACTTAAAAATTTAGTTATTATTAATACCACTAAAGATATTTTTCCATTAATACATCCTGGAGTTTTTTTAAATTTAAATGTGCGTGCGTTCGTTATTAATTTTTTTTTTAAATTTTTGTAACTTTTTTTTTTTTTGTTTATTCTGAACTTAATTAAAATGCTCAATGATAATATTGTTCCAATAAATTTCGACGAAGGCTCAGGCATTGCACTTAATTTTTAAACTTTTAATATTCAATTCTAAATCCTATTTAATTTTTTTAGCGTTTGTTAATCAATATACACAAATTTCTGACAATATTTGGCAGATAAATAAAATTGGCGTTAAGTTTTTATAAATCAAGAACAATTACTTTAAACGAAGTCAAAAATTATTAAAGTACTGAATAACTAAAAAGTATTTATTTAAAATTATTAAAAAAGTACTTTGTTTTTTTTTTTTTTTTTTTTTTTTTTTTTTAGCATCTCTAATGAAATATATTTAATTATAAGGAATCCAAACGTTTTATTACATTAATAATTTTAATAATAATAATTTTTTATTTTAGATTTTAGTAATTAGTCCTCAAAATCTTTGTGATGATTTAGTTCATTTATTGGGTTTTACTTCAATACAACATCTTCACATTAAATCCAATTCATACTCAATGGCAACTGAAGCCTGTGAACCTATTTCATACAGGTAACAATTTATTATTTATATTTAAAAAATCTTAATTAAATTTTATTAAATCAAAGATACAGATTTGTTTATCAGTCAATATTTATTTCAATTTTAAATAATAAAGTTTATAAATCATTTTTCTTTCAATTTATTTTTTTTTAGGATTTGGGAGCAGACAAAAAAGCAAAATCCAACATTAGGAGTACACTTGGAGGGAATGAATGAAATTTTTTGGCAAAATGGTGCTCCAGTAAAATCATTAATACTTAATGGAAATAAAAAAATGGTAAGTTTTTCTCACTTTATGTAACAGTATAAAAACTTTAGCAAAAATGAAATTATAAATTTTAAAAAAAATTAATGTGCCTGATTTGATTTAGATTCAAGCCGATATTGTTATGCAGGCAATCGAACAATATGATAATTCATTAGAAGCATTTATTTTCAATGGAATACCAAGATTTTACAGATCGAAATCTTTTCACGACAGAGCAGACAATTCTTTAATGTTACTAAGTCATCAGTGTTCCAATCTATCAATTTTGGTATGTAACTACTCATTTCCTTCTTTTCATAAAAATGTATTTTGCATTAGATTGTTTATTGTTATTTATACAATAAGGTACTATAAAGTTACATTATATTGTTTTTTAAGGTATTATATTATTGCAATGTTTGTTTATTGTTAATTTTTAAAAGGTTATTCATGAAAGAATATCAACTGCAACTATTTTACTGATTGCCAGCACTTTAAAGAACTTAAAATATCTAATTGTGAGAAGGAATGCAATAATAATTAAAATGGATTGGCCAAAAAGACATAATTGGTCTGATGATTTTTATACATGGATGAAAACAAATTCAAAAAAATATGAGTTAGTAGAACGAGAAATATCAATTATTATGGGTTACAGGTGGAAAATGTTGACTGATAAAGAATTTAAAAATCTTAAACTTACACCATATAAAAGTAAATTAAATTCATCTATATTTGATTTTACTTTTAATTAATTGATTATTAGTTAAAAGGACAAAAAAATTGAATGTACTTAATGTAAAAAATTAAAATATTTTATTTTTTATTAATTTTAATAAATAACATCATTAATTTTTTTTAATATTGTTGTACTTATAAAACAATCAGGAATATTTTTCAACAGACCAGAAAAGCTTTATATTGTTTTTGCAACACTTTTCATAAGTTTTTCTGTTTAGTAATTTTCATTTACCCCTATAATTACAAAATAAACCCTTCTTCAGTCACAAAACTTATAGAAAAAAAAAATTTTTTATGGTACAACTTAAAAACAAAAAAATCATTTAATTATTAATAATAACTGAAAGAATCTTTTCTTTTTTTTTTTCGTCTTATCATCATTAAAAATTTTTTTTTCCAACGTTGTTTGTTTACATTATATAAAATACAAGTGAAGAATAAATAAAACTTATAAAACCGCGGATTTTAATTGGATGAATATTTGAACTCTTATTTTTGATTGGTTAAAAATTAAGTTAAGTTTAGAAGGCTGTGGAAAATTAAAAACAATGCTGTTCTCAGCGGTTTAGGTAAATAACATTCGGCTGCATTCGATGCACGTAATGCTTTCAGTTTAAGTTTAGAGATTTTGGAAATTATGCCCAAATCATCTGAAAAAAATCCTGTACTGACAGAAAATAACGATAGGTATGTTTTTTATCATTAAATATTGTAATTATTTTTTAATTTTACTTATAAATTTACATTATTTTTTTATCCATTTACTATATCACTATATCAGAATTTGGCGGGATCTTTTCCTCGCACTTACTTTTAAAAAATAATTTTAAATATATAAATTCTCATCTATTTTCAATTTCACAAAATTTTTATACAATTATTCTTTTCATTACTTAATAAGATTGCATTATTACCTTAATAATAGGAAATTTTCACTAATATTTTTTTTGGCGCCTATTCCTACAATTGCTGGCGTGTCAATTATTTTCTCTATATATTTCGTTTTGCATTTATATAATTTTAATTTATTCGTACAAGCATTTGGTAAAACGAGTTATTACTATTTTTTAACTATTTTAGCTTACATTTTAAAATGTTTTGCCAAATAATTTTACTTTTAATGTAACATATATGAATATAAATTTTGTTAAAAAATTTATTAAATTTATCTGTACAAATGAAATTATTTTAATTTTTATTTAATATTTTTATTTTAGTATTTGTGGTAGAATTTGAAAGTATTAATATTAATTCACAGTGAATTTACATTTTTATTTATTTTTACACAAATTTCATATATATATATCTATATATATATGTATAGGTAAGATGTGTTATTAAAATTAATCAAAACAGATTTTATTTATTGAATATATAATTTTGAGATGCTCAGCTAATATTATTTTATTTATCAATAAAATTATTATAAAATTTAATTATGTGAAAACAATACTGCTTGTTTACCCATAGTAATAACTTGTTTTTTTTTTTTCAAAATTTTACAGTCAGGTTTTTTTTTGGTTTGGGGAGTTTTTTTTTTTTTATTCTTTAAATTTTAACTTATTTTATTTTGTTTCAGATTACAAAGCTGCAAAAGAAGGCGGTCATCATCAGATTCTGCTGAAGAATTAGCTCCTAAGCGTTCAAAAATTTCTCCCACTATTAAAAGATGGAGAGGTTCGACAAATGCAGAATTTCAACCAGAGCTATTGGAAGAAATGGGTGTTGGTATGCTGCCAGGTGTATCTGTAGAGGTAAGTCATTTCTATAAAAAAAAAAAAAAGAATTATATAAATAAAACAATCAATAATTAGGGAAATTTTTAGACACACATTATAGACATAGATTTTTTAATATTAAATTGAATGTTAAATGTGCTCTTCAAATAATATTTTATCAACGAAAAACATTTTTTTTTTTAAGGATCCATCTGTAACAGAAATATTTTTATCATCATCGGAAGATAATGAAAATTTAAATTCTAAACTTACAAAGAAAAAAAAAATATTGAAAAAGAAAAAGAAGAAAAAATCATCAGTAAGTTATTTAAATATAAGGGATTCAGAAAAGCCATTAATTGAATGCATAAACAATAATTCTCAATCGAATAAAGGAGTTTTTACAAATAATTCGAGTATCCCTTTAACGACAGTTGGAAAAGGAATGATTAATGAAAAACAAGAAGTTAATGACGATGCGGAAAAGTCTAAATTTTCAATTCAAAAAGAAGAATCAGACGATGGTTGTATATTAGACAGCTGTGAAGATAGTTCAACTAAAGAGAATTCAAAGAGTTTAAAATGGGAAAAATTAAAACCCATTAATTGTAAAATTAGAAATTCAAAAATTATTTATCAAAACGAAATAACTGTTGATAATAATAGTAAGTCTGATGCTGTTGACATTACCAATAATAGTAATAATAAAGATAAATTTGAACATTTTAAAAATCATAAAGAGGAAAAAATAAAAAAATTTGTCGATGATTCTGACTTTTTCCTAAGTCGAAGGCCAAAAATTGAAAATTCCGGAGTTGAAGGTAAGTAATTATTTTTTAATTTTAATTTTTAACCTCCTTTTAATGTACAAAAAAAAAATTTAAATATATTTTATTTTATTTTATTTTAGATTATTTTAGTAAATTGTCAGATGAAGTAATTTTAAGTATTTTTTATTGGCTACCAAAAAAATCTCTAGTTACTTGTGCATTAGTGTGCAAACGTTTTCTTACTTTAGCTTATGATGAGGTTTTATGGACCAAAATGGATCTTGGAGGCAGGAATTTACCATCTAAATCAGTTGGTTACATAGTTTCCAGAGGATTTCGAATTCTTCGTTTAGCTCAATCTGCTGTAAGATGATAATCCCCCCCCTTTTTTTTTTGGAAGTTTTAAAAAAATAATGTATTTCTCTAACAAGTGTGTTTTTGTAATTTTTTTTTTTTTTTTAGTTGCCTGATCCTGTTTTTTGCCCGTTAACAACTAATTTACCTTCTAACTTTATATGTAAACTTCAGTATTTAGATTTGTCAATGGCATCAATATCTCCTTTTGGTCTTGCAACTTTTTTAAACTTTTGCAAATTTTTAAAGAAATTAAGTTTAGAAAATTGTCATTTAAACAATAATTGCTGTAGTGCCATAGCTGAAAATGTCGATTTAGAAGTGCTTAATTTGACCATGTGTATTGGACTCACGACATCAGGAATCGATTCAATATTTACCAATTGCAGACGGTTAGATATTGTTTTTTTTTTTTTTTTTTTTATCAGGTCACGTGATCAATTTTCTAATATTTAATAAATTCATTTTAATTTTTTACAGTTTGCAAGCATTAAACATTTCTTGGACTGGTCTATCCGTTCCTTCGTTAAACTTAATCGCTTGTAAAGTTCCTTCAAAATTGGAACGATTAAATATAAGCGGTAGTAAAAAACATTTAACAAACGAACGTAAATATAATTTATTATTTTAAATGTATAATTTTGTTTAAAAAAAAAAAAAGGAGGGGTTAAAAATAAATAAATTTTCATTTTGGATTTCAGATGTAATTGAAATATTTCATCGTTGCGAAAATTTAATTGAATTAGATGTTTCCGATAGCATTGAATTGACGGATCAAGTAATTAATTTTATTGTTAAATACGTCAAAAGGATAGAATATTTGTCTTTTTCAAGATGTTATTCCATAAACACAACGAGTTTTCTGTAAATGATAATTTTTAAACATTTAAATTAATTTATTTCCTTTAGCTAATATATTGCGATTTAAAATAAATTTTGTATCGTTCAGGTTACTTAAAGACGTACGTAGTTTGATGTTTTTGGACGTTTTCGGTCTCATGTCTGAAGAGGAATTAAACGATTTAAAAAATGGCATGCCGGATGTTGCTGTCAATCAATTTCCTTTTTCAAGCGTTGCCAGGCCCACGGTGGGCTTGAGAAGAACTTCCATTTGGGGTTTAAAAGTACGAGATTAATTATCTGAAAATATCAGAATAATTAGGTAAATCCTAAATATTGTGATTAGGTATCTCATTTTATTAAACTTATTAAAGGTGTTGTTTTAAATATTTTTTTTTTTTTTTCCAGATAAAATGAATGCTTTTTTTCATTAAGGGTATATATCCGGAATTTCCATTAAATTAATCTACTTGTTGTGTAGGTAAATAGAAATTATTAATATTAATTTTTTTTTTTTTGTAATTTTGAAAATATAAAATTACATTTAAAATGTAGTAAATAATCTTTTTTTTATTTATTTATTTTTAATGGCCGTATAAAAAAGAAAGTGTAGTTATTGAAAATTTATTAAAAATTATCCTAAATTATTAATTATATTTCCATAACATATTTATGATATTTTGCACTTTTAGTTGACTAGTTGTAAATTATATTTAATTGTCATTGTATTAAAACACGAAGAAAAAATTTTTCCTTTTTGTTAATTAAGGTAAGTTCATTTATTTAGATTAATTGTAATTTTTTTAAATTTTATGCGCCATTAATTTTTAATATGTAAATATACTAACGAATAAATGCGGAACAAATTCAAATTCGTCG